TTTATTAAATTGAATTATTCTATATTAAATTATAATTAAATGGTTTAAGATTGGATTAATGATGATTATGTTATATAATTTGATTGTCTTGTTATATTGGTTTATTTTATAATAAAATTAGTTATTATTAAAGTTAATCTATGTTTTGTTATTTTAATTTGATTTGTTTATGAATAGTCGAATTGATTATAGGTTTGAGTTCTTGAATTAATTAATTATGTAATGGTTATATGGAAGGTATAGATATTTATACAATTGGTAGGGCCAAATTAAGATTCTTTATTGGAACAGATGGATAAGGATCAAGAAGAAGTTAATCTAGATAAGCATCAATTCTGTTGTAAGAGCACTAATCATTTAATATTATTCAATAACTTACATCTAAATCTTATTAAAAACCTTAAAGACATTCTTCTACTTTATTCTTATATTACACAACAATCTATTCACTATTCATTTATTTTATTATTAACATTTTTTATTTTCATTTCTCTATTTCTATTAAAAAAAGATAATACATAAGACTTTTTCATTAGAATAAAAATGAATTTTATTTATATAATTTTATAAAAGGATAGATTCACATAATATAATCTTGTAAAATCTCTCGAGTCTACTTTACGAATTTGAAAATATGGAAAGTAAGTGTTATTGATATGGCTTGATAAAAATAATTGAGAAAAAATGTTAATATAACATAGGAGTTATAACATTCTTCATTAAGGAATATTATCTAGCATGGATAAATTACAATTTTTCAGAAAGGTTTAGTCTAAAATTAATGTCAGATGAAATATTTTGTTAAATTTGAAACATAATTCAAAAAAAAAACAAAGAGAAATACTAACTTGTTGTTTATTCATTGAGCAAATAAAGATCTTACTAATGGTCCACATCGATTTGAAATATTCATTCCATACATATCCAATTAAAAAAGTAGTTGCTGCTGATCAAATAAATCTATAAAAGTATAAAAAGTATATATAATTAGGTTTTTGACTACAGTTAAAGGATAAACCAGATTAGTCAATTATATTCCAAATTAATTAGATTAGGAAGTCTAAGAGAGTAAAATAAATAAATTAAAGAAAAATTTGAAAACAACTTAGCAATTATATTTTAATTTTTATTTGAGAGATCACCATTTAGCGATCTTTAAACTATTGATATATAATAAAGCTGAAGCTGTAGGTTTTATAAAATCTAAATGCCGTGAGAATTATAGAAGTATAATTAAATATGATGAAATAGAAACAGATAATTTAGTCATATAATATGTCGTCGAAATTTAATAACATTATAAAATCCCAATACGCTAGTAAATTCTACCTAGAGATTGGAATCCTTTAATATAAACTTGATATTTTCAATAAAATTTAATATGATCAATGGAATGAGAAAAAATAGCTAAATATATCTCATATATTGGTTCTTTTATTGGTAACCCAAAATTGGTTATTTCGCTAATCATGGTCACATATAAATTATAATGAGATTCTTGTATTATTTCAAAGTAGCTTTAATATTGTCAGTCCCTTCTATATCAGGAGAACTACCAGGTATTTTTAAAACGTGAATAGCTTTAAAAGCTCAAATCATGGCATATACTAATTTATTGTTTTTAAATTATCTAAAGTTTAGACCTTAAGATGTAGAATCATAATTTGCTTAGATATTAATAGTAATTCGATAACAAATTAAAATTGTACTAAAGAAATGTCACTCTTATCAGGTTTTGTTATTTTATCAATTACAGTATTCCTTATTGATAGAATATCTTATTTCACAAAAAGAAAGATAGAATGGTATGATACCAAGTTAGTTAAAGAAAGGTTTAGCTAGAAATCTTTTAAATTATGGTAATCTATGCAGATTATTATGAATATAGATTGTTCACTAATAAAAGGAATAGACTAAATATATGGGTTACCAACTGAAACTACCTCAATAATATAATGAAAGATCTAAGGTGAATTCACAAGATACATAAAGGTTATGTCTCGTAATTGAAAAAGGATGTGTTTTATTCATTCATAGGGCTCCAGATTATTTTTTTGAAGATCAAATATGATTAATTATAAACTCAAAATGGATATATTGTTCAATTGAAGACTCAAGACAAGAATTAATTATAATAAATTACTAAGAATTTTGCAGAAAAAGGTTTAAGAATATTGGCAATCCGTGCCTACAAATTTTGTCATTAATTAAGCAAATATGATTGATAAAAACATCCAGCTATAAGGATTTACAGAATAAACTAATTATTATTTAGTTTATTTTCATATAAGATCCACTGAAACCAGAAGTTTAGATAAAATGAAGAATTATAGGGAAGCTTATATTTCAAAAATTAGAGTAAATTATGATGTCATAATTGATTATAATTTAAATTGGTAAATATCTTATCCAATTTTCAATTTCATAATAAATATCATAAATTTATCTAACAAATTTTATGATATTAATAAGAGTTGCTTGTTTAAATTTTACATTATTTATCTAATTAATTTATATATGATATTCTAGAGTCTATAATTTTTCTTTGGCATAATCAAATTTACAATAGTTTTCATCATATTCAATCTCAAAATGGAAAATACCTAGTAATACACTACAACAAGTCCTTGTTATCATTTTTGATGATATTTAATTATGCTCCATTTAATAAATTTTTAATTTATCTTAATAAATATTTCTTAAATAATACCAATCTTTTTGAAATTTAGGTAAAGTTAAACTACACATTGCTTGTTTTATTGTACTCAGCTCAAAATACTTCTAGTTTCTTATTTTTAGATTGCCTTCATCCTCTAAATTACCTTATCTAAATAATTGTACAATTCATTTTCTTTCCTTTATTTACATAATTTAATTCTAATTTCAATTAGTGAAGCAAAATAAATATTTGGGTTGAAAATTCTACCGATAATAATCTAAAATAAAATTTTACTTCTCAACTTCTTAAAGATTATACTAAAATAAACTATAATGGTCTTTAAGTAATTTATTAATTCTAAATATTCTATTTTCAAAAATTATAAATAGAATAATTTTTGATTATCACAATATTTGATTAAAAAATTGTGGTAATCATTTATATTATCACTTACAAGTACTTAAATATAAATTCATTAGAGTTAATAATAAACAATCAATATCCTTGATATCCGATTCTATTGTTTAATTTATAATTTGGAAATTTGTAATTTCAACATTATTATCAGCGAAGCAAACATATATATTGGGCAATGACTTTGATTATCTTTTATAATAGCATAATTTTAGATCATTAAATAGTATTGCACTAATTAATTATCATACTAATAAAAGTTATAAATTAATATGGAAGAAAATTACATACATTAACATTATTAATTATTAAATTATCTGATGAATACTGTATTTTAAGAATTTTCTGTAAATTTTTAATAGAAATAGAGAAATGAAAATAAAAAATGTTAATAATAAAATAAATGAATAGTGAATAGATTGTTGTGTAATATAAGAATAAAGTAGAAGAATGTCTTTAAGGTTTTTAATAAGATTTAGATGTAAGTTATTGAATAATATTAAATGATTAGTGCTCTTACAACAGAATTGATGCTTATCTAGATTAACTTCTTCTTGATCCTTATCCATCTGTTCCAATAAAGAATCTTAATTTGGCCCTACCAATTGTATAAATATCTATACCTTCCATATAACCATTACATAATTAATTAATTCAAGAACTCAAACCTATAATCAATTCGACTATTCATAAACAAATCAAATTAAAATAACAAAACATAGATTAACTTTAATAATAACTAATTTTATTATAAAATAAACCAATATAACAAGACAATCAAATTATATAACATAATCATCATTAATCCAATCTTAAACCATTTAATTATAATTTAATATAGAATAATTCAATTTAATAAA